TTTTGCTTTCGTACCATTTAAAAAATCTTCTACATGATAAAATTCAAAATTTTGTTTATGAAAGCTGTTTAAAGGTATCACTTGCAAAGGTTCTTTCAACTCTACTTCTACGCGTTTATCAGTGTTATTAATAATCTCGGTTTTTGCAAAACCGTGTTCTACAATTGTTAATGTTTCTGGAAGATAAAGAGTATCAAGTTGCATTGCCGGCACGATAACTTCTCCGGAATAATAATTTACAGGAACTTTGATTGCGGCAATTTCATGGGAATCAACTGATATATTAAAACGTTTTCTATTTAAATTATAAAATATGGGAATTTGCGTATTTTTATTTTTTAAGATATTATTTTCAAAGTCTAGGCATAATTTAAGATTTTTTATTACATTTAGACCAATAAGTCCGTCGAAGTGATTATGAAATTGGAATAATATGAATGGTATTGTAGAAGATGATTTTAATTCTGTAAATGCCGGTATGTCGGCTTTAAATTTTGCTTCCTTTTGACCTACGACTGTTTTTATAAATGTCGTTTCATGATAAATAGTATCAGGAAAGTACTTTTCGGCGATACCTGGATTTAATATTGATTGCATGCCAGCGGAGTCCACCAAAAGTTTTAACGGAGGATTTTCAATTTTAATAAAAGGTAATTCAGAAGTATTTATGTCTAAAAATATTTCATTTATTACGTGTTTAGCTGATTCTGGCCTAGTATCCAAAAATTTTCGTCATTAGAAGCAACGTCATTCAAGTCGTAACTTTCTTGGTTATTATTGTCAGTATATAGATTTGATTTATTTGGAGTTTGAACATTATTTTCTGTATTAACTTTAGTTTCAATTTGGTGTAATTCTTGAGAATTAAAATTTCGGGGACCGTTTGGTTTAAAATAATTGTTACGTGATTGATTGTTTCTAAAAGTATTTCTTGAAGTTGTTGACATAGGTTCAGGGTCATTTTGAGGAATTCTTCCTGTGGGTGCAAATGCGTTTTTATGTGGTCCAAATACTTGTCTGTTCGTTGGGAATTGTCTATTAATTTGTCGTGGTTGAACTTGGATAGGTTGTCTCGGAAATTGATTAAAATTTTGGTTTTGATTTGCATTAAAAGATGGGGGAATTTGATGTTGGGGGTTTGTATGAAAATTTCGTTCAGGTACTGGTAAATTAAAGGTTGAGTATTGTGGGTTAGCTGTATAACCCATGTTTTGATAATTATTATTAGGCGTTGCATAAGTTTTGACGTTATGTTGATTTTTTGCATTATGATTATTAAATTGTTTTTGGTATGTTAGGTTTTGTGTAGAATTGTTTTGAGCATAATAAAAATTTTCTTCCTCAACAATATGAGCAATAGCGGTTTCTATAGTATCGGGGTTTTTAATTCTAATAGTGTGTTGTAAAAGTCCTGTCAAATTTCTAATTAAAGTTCTAAGTGACATTTGGTCATATTGTCTACGATAAATTTCTTTAGTATTAGCATTCATTTCTTGTTCCGAAAAACTATTTACTCTTTCGATCAATTGGCTTCTTAAAACCTGTAGTCTTTTTGCGAATTGTAGAATAGGTTCATGTTTTAATGGTTTAGCCATTAACAGATCCTGCTCTAGGCATTCTAAAGATCTCTTGTCTCCAAAACTTTGTTCTAGAGCGTTCTTTAATAAATTCCAATTATTTAATTCTGTTCTCCTACTAACTAATTGACGTGCACTACCTACTAACTTTGAACGAATCACTCTAAAAATATAATTATGTAAAACTACATCGCGAATATTATCATATGAATCTACTAAAAATTGACAATCTTCAATAAACTGCATTAGTGCAGATGGATTACCATCGTAAGTCTGAATTAGATCTACGGTTAACTTAAGCATTTGCATATTAATTTCATTATTTTGATTTTGAGCCATTTCGTTATTTATTAAATTGTTTTCTTCGCAAGTTTCGTTAATTCGTACTAGATTATTAAAATTAGCAATCAATTCTTCTATTTCAAAATTCATTCACTTAACCTATAGTAAAATAAATCTTCTAACCAGGAAAATTTACCTATCTTAACTAACTAAGGATAATGCAATAGGAAAACTCGGTACTTACCAGTAGTTATCCCTGCGGTGATTCTGCTACCAACTTCTGAAGAGGGCCAGCGGTTTCCGGGTAGGTTTGGTTGCCAAAGAGTTAAAACTCACGTTCAATTGGAATCGGTCTCGATGCCGTGGCTTCACAAAATCGAACTGCGAACTATCCTACTGACTGCGCCAGTTAAGTTATTTTAGTATTAAAACTTATTTTTAAAAACAAAACTTTATTTTTATTTTACAACGGAATAGTGGTTTACTCGACAGAGGTTAAAGCAAGAATGAATCTAATGTTAACAAGAATTATCTACATGAAATATGATATCTGTACAACGTCACTATTATTTATGTGATATGGCAAAATGTCTTTATATAACTAGTGTGGATAAAATTTGCCATACGGTTATAGAGTCAACTAGTTAGGTTGAGGAGCATTTTTTCATCCGATAATTGTTTTCTTGGTTCATTTATACAGCACTTGTAATTATCAAATTTTTATTCATCATGTGGGCACTGTGATAAATGAATTTTAACTTTTGAGCATAAATTAAACTTACACATGTTTGGACCCTTGAAGATTTTAGGGCGTTTTTTTGTTTGATGTCAATGACATTGAATCAGTTTTTGATATTGATGGCTGAGGCTCAAATATTTTATCAATCGACAGGGTATTTTGGAGGGCCAACATTTTCTTTTCAACAATTATCATTTAAAAACTGAAAAGAAAAAGAAATTTAAATAAAGCAATTATTTTAACAATGAATCAAAAACAAGTTTGTAAATAGTACTTACCATTGATGCCAGTACAAGATGCATTTTTCTTAAGACACTTATTACAAATTGTTTGGTTATCCTTAATATAACGACATTTAATACGTGGTATAAATTGCATCACTACGAATATATGGTAGTGCTTTATTGTTCGTTGCTGAAATCCATGTTCCCATCTCATGAAAACATGCTTAAAATTGGAAGGTGTTGAAAAATAAATCTAGATTAATTAAAATCCAATACACCTTCAAATAAAACAGCCATTTTAATTTTTCCAAGTTTGAAGTTTTGTCACGTTTTGACAAGCTGACAACTAACATGACATATCGATACGAGCGCTATCCCGTTAATTGGAGTGCTACTAAATTACCGTCCTCATGTTTTTCCATTTGAGTTACCAGCCCCTGCCCTTCAGTGTGTTCAGTGCCCGTAGTTACTTTGAGCACAAACCACAAATTTTTAATAGACGCTATCACATGAACACTAGCTCGCAGATGGTTGGTTGAACCAACCAGCGAAAACAGCCACCTTGCGAGACCTTGGCGTCATTCGCAAAATCAAATTCTCACCGCACCAAACAACACGTCAGCGTCAACAACGACTTCATAAACCGGCGTGCTTTCGTCATGTTGAAAATTGTTCTTTTTATTTGAACTATTCAATGCGAAAAGGCTGTGATTCATTTTTTAGTCTTTATTTTAATAAGTATACAAATGTAGTAAATACTGTAATGTGAGCCATTTCATTATTTAGTCATGCTCTAATACTCCAAGTCCCTCTCTGTATTATTTGGCCTTTGAGGCTCAACTTGTCCGCTTATTATACATAATTAAACTCCTTAAGACCAAACCTATGGGACGACTATGGTAGAGACACTTTCGCGAACATTCCAGAGTCAACGAGATACTATTTCTAGTCTAAATATAACGTGATAACGTTTCTGGTACCTTCTGGCAATTTTGGTGGGGGAGCATTCTAGACCACCAATTTGTATATAAATTGGTGGAGGAGAGCCATCAGAGTGAGTAGTTATATGGACAGTTAAGATAAATAGTAATTAGTAGATAGACAGTGGTGAATATAAATAGTGATCAGTTTAAAGACATTCGAAGTATATATAAATTAGAATAGTTGTGTTATAAAATAAATAAGTGTTTAAATAAATTATTATTAAATAAACTGTTGTTTGAAAATAAACAAACATCACAATACAGTGATGTTAAAGTTATAATACGGGATTCAAGATTAAAAAGATATTTTAAAGATCCAGGCGATTTTATTCCCTAAACACCTAAAAGAAAACCAGTGCAATCTCATACTCATCATTTAGTCGTCATTTTATTTGAAAAAAAAATATTACAATTTATCCACAGGGTATTCAGAAAATACGGCTTAAAACTTTTTTTTGTTTGATCTTTTACAATAAAAAAATATATTGAGTAAAAACTGGAATGCTACATTGAATATTTTTAATTTATACAAAAATTGAATTATTGATCCAAGATGTAAAAAGATATTGGAACTAAATACATGGTCTTACGTCACGCAATTATATTACAATTAATAAATTTACAACAGGTTAAGAAAGTAAAAACATTCACAGCGCAACTGTATCTTGACGAAAAGAAACAACTAGCAAATATTAAAAATCTTACAAACACTCAATAGTTAATTTCATGAGTACGAGGGACTATTGAAATTATTATTTGGCAACACTGGTATAATAATTTAAGTAATTATCGATAGTCCCAATACTAAAAGTTTTATCCAATAAATTATATTAGGAATTAATAAAATGTGACAGCTTAATAATTTAGTAATAGTACAAACGCAATTAAATAAATGGATGGTATTTACATTTTTACATAGTAAAAAATCAAGCTATAATGAAATTGATTGGAGAAAAGAAAGAAAATATTTTAAAAAAATATGTTAGAAAATAGGAATGTGGGTTAACCAAACGCTCTTGGAGATACTGGAATGAGGTTATTTTGTTATAAACAAAAAATGTTGATTTATTCTTTGTTGTATAACACGATCTAAATGTACCTACATGATTTATTATCAATAATTATTGATTAACTAAAAGTATTGGAAAATATTACATTTTGGGTGATATTAAATTTCAGTTCTTTTTTCTTTCAGATAGGACTTCAACTTTTAGGACTCATTATTCTTTCGTCAATAATTGAGCCATATTTACTAATTGTGGACGGTTTTCTTTTAATAGTATTTTATCTAATAAGGTTAGTTTATGTTGAAACAAGTAGAAACGTCAAAAGGATAGAAGCTATAAGTGAGTAATAAATGACATTAATGCTTTTATGTTTCAAATTCAGATCGACTTTTTAGCCAAGAGTCCCATGTTCAGTCACATGACAGCAACTATTTATGGCTTGGATACCATAAGAGCATTTTCTGCCGAAAAGATGCTAGTTAGGCAATTTGATGATCTGCAAGATATTCATAGCGCTGCTTGGTTTTTATACATGGCATCTGGTAAATGTTTTGGACTCTGGTTAGATTTAACGTGCCAATTTTTCATTGCTTGTGCAATTTTTGCCATCTTAATAGTCAATAGTGGTAAGTTAATAGTTCAAACAAAATAGTTTCACAGTTTTACTGTTTTAACTTGCAGATATCCAAGGAGGTGATATGGGTCTAATAATTACACAATATTTATGTCTTATGGGCAACCTTCAATGGGGTATGCACCAGTGGACAGAACTAGATAATAACATGACATCCGTTGAGAGGATATTAGAATATACAAAATTAGAAACCGAACCGGTTCGAGAAAAATTACGCTTTCTTTCTACAGACTGGCCTGAAGAGGGAAAGATCGAGTTCAGAAACGTGTCTCTTCGGTATACCCTAAATGAACCTTATGTTCTCAAAGATTTGAATTTTAAAGGTGGGTAGAGATAGTACCTACATATTTTAATTAAAACAACAGTTTAATAGAAGAGAAAACAATAAAACCTCAAAATCAATATATCAATTTTATTATAAAAAATACAAAAGCGACTATTTTTGGCTTTGCAGGGCCATCTTCAGGTCTGTAATACAACAATTCTTCCGTAAAAAATAGGAACAATATAAGATTAGGTTGGTCACTTACAGAGCTGGGCAGAGTACTGCATTAAAGTACTCATCAGTACTTTACATTGACTAGCTTCGCAAAGTACTCATAAGTGTCTGAAGATGAGTACTTATATGAATAATACTCAAAGCAAATCAGTTTATTTGTAAATTTTAGAGGGTGCTCGTGAAAAATCGGGTAACAAATATGAGTACTTTAAATAATTCTAGTAAGTGACTTAAGGTTAGAAATTAGGAATTATAGTACTTGCTTAGAAATAGTAAATCAGTAAATCAGCATTCCCAACTTTTGCATTTTAATGTTAAAGTAAAGTAATAAGAATGTTAGGTAGAGATACAAAATACTCAAAGAACAGTTTTATATTTTAAAACTATATAGGCACCAGTGGTCTAACATTATCAAAAAGAAATATAAAATTGGCCTAAGAAAAAATATTGAAAAATTGTAATTTCTAACTTCTAGTAAGTAAAACCACCAACGATAACAACGACGACAACGACGACAACGACGACAACGACGACAACGACGACAACGACGACAACGACGACAACGACGACAACGACGACAACGACGACAACGACGACAACGACGACAACGACGACAACGACGACAACGACGACAACGACGACAACGACGACAACGACGACAACGACGACAACGACGACAACGACGACAACGACGACAACGACGACAACGACGACAACGACGACAACGACGACAACGACGACAACGACGACAACGACGACAACGACGACAACGACGACAACGACGACAACGACGACAACGACGACAACGACGACAACGACGACAACGACGACAACGACGACAACGACGACAACGACGACAACGACGACAACGACGACAACGACGACAACGACGACAACGACGACAACGACGACAACGACGACAACGACGACAACGACATTTTTTCTGCTTACAATAGACCAAAAATCTTCAATGGGTCTCGCCTAAGGCACATTTAAGCGGTTGTCGACCTTGGGAACAAAATTGATGCCATTTGCAGCTAACCAGTCTGTCGTTCTTTTGGCGTAAGGAGACGACCATAAATCAGGCCAGAATATTATTTGGTGGTTGCGATGATGAGTATCAATAAAATTTCGTAGCTTTGTAAGACATGTACTGATGTAAATGTCAGTATTGATGGCTTCACCACAAACATGTCCAACATACGGCTGTGAAACAATATTATTTGATATGACGCACCACACCAAGATTTTGTCCTCAAACTTATGTTTGCCTTTGAATTTCACATTATCTGGGGTATTTTGTACATTCTCTGTATGGAATCCATCATTATCTTTGGATAATGTCAAAATATTTTTCATCGTCAATAACAATAACTTTACCAGGAAAATGAACAAGTCTCAAAGCAAGGCAACATCTCGGAATTTTTTCCAACTAATTGTCGCTATATTTCTGTCTCAAGCGGCAAAGTATCACTTTTCGCTATTAATACACAAATAACTATTATCTTGTGTAGAATTCATAAATAATTTCGTGCACATTTAGAAATAAATCTTAAATTTTAATTAAACTAAACAAAATTAAATTACTTACGAGTTTTAAAACTACAATTAAACTAATTAATAAAAAAATCTTCATGTTTATTTTATTTTATAAATTAGTAAAAGTCAAATTATTTTAAAATTAGTTATTTTGTCTTAATAACCAGAAATAAGTTTTAAAATTTTTAGATTTTCGTTAATGGCTTGTAGAAAAAATATAGTGTATATAACTCGGGTAGATTGTCTGTATCGCACTCAGACGTTTGAGTACTCTGAATACGGCGTCGTACACAAACTTCGTCTTCGTGCGATATGGCCAACATTATAGGTATTCTCTGTAACCAAAATAACTATATAATTAAAATTCTCTTTTAAAATTCTTTTATTAAAAGGCCAAGAACACGTAACTTCGAAAAAATAGAAAAATAAAAATAATTTGTTGATAGTTTCTTGTCTCTTGCTGTTCTGTTCTTTCTTTTTTTTTCCACAGCTGTCCACCACACACTCCATTGTTTTTCCACCTACTACACCACAAATCAAAAACAGATGTGACTTCCAATGTCATCAACTTTGAAGTTCTATGACATTGGCAGGAAACAGGATTGAGTCTCATGCCACCACGAAACATTCTAAAGTGCCATCACATAACAAAAATAAAACGTCGAAATGACAAAGTGGAGATGACTGGTTTAAGGTTATAACATTTATCTATCAACGTAATTATGACAGAGAGAAGAGTAATATGTAGTACGAAGCACTACAATACTTCCCCTCTTTAAAAAAAAAAAAATAACATATAAATTATGAAACAACTAAAAATAATGAACTATTTAATTTAATGCAAATGTAACTTTCTTAACTTCTTTTATAGATTCATTATTATCCGATAATAAAAATGCAGGTTTTAACTGATCAATATTGATAACTAATTCGTTATTATTTTTTAAAATTGTAAAAAGTTTATCAGATCTACGAATAACTTTAAAAGGACCTTCGTAACAAGGTTTTAAAGCGGCTTTAATGCCTTGAACTTTTAAGAAAACGTATTCTGCGTTTTCTAATTCTGGAGAAACGAATGTTTTCCTTATACCGTGTTCCTGAACTGGAGCTGGTCTTAATTTGTTGAAATTTTCTCTCAAATTAATTAATATTGAATGAGTATCTATCTCTTCATTTGAAGACGTGAAAAATTCACCAGGCAAACGTAAAGTTTGGCCGTATACCAATTCTGCAGAAGAACATTGTAAGTCCTCTTTTATAGCAGATCTTAGCCCTAATAATATTAAAGGTAATTCATCATACCAATTATTCGAAATTAATTTTGCAGATAACGATGCCTTTAGTGTTCTATGAAAACGTTCTATCATCCCATTGGCTTGAGGATGGTAAGTAGTTGTATGGATACTTTGAAATCCTAACCTTTTACTAAAATCTTTGAACATACTAGATTCAAATTGACTGCCTTGGTCATGAGTAATATACACTGGAACACCAAAGCGTGTTATATACTGATTTAATAATACTTTGATTACTGATTCTGAACTGATGTTCTTAAGTGGATAAACTTCTACCCATCTAGTACATCTATCAATAACAGTAAATAAATAATTATGACCTCTTGAAGGTTTCAAAGGACCCACTAAGTCTACGTGGATATGTTGGAATCTTCCTTCTGGAATTTTAAAATTTCCTAGAGGTGATTTTGTGTGTCTAAGCACTTTCGCCTTTTGACAATTAATACAACATTTTGACCATGAATAAATTTCTTTATTCATCCTTGGCCAAAAATACCTAGAATTTATTAATTTAACAGTGGCCTTACATCCAGTATGAGCTATGTTATGTAACTTTAAAAAAATACTATAACGTAAACTCTTAGGAATGTATGGTCTGCTCTTTTCCTTTGAAGTTTCGCACCAAAGATTCAATTTTGGGGTTTCAACCTCTACATTGCTTAAGAAAAATTTTCTTCCTTTTTTATTACTTGAATTCTGTTTTTTTAATAAGAACTCTAATTCTATGTCTATTTTCTGTTCTGAAATAATTTTATGTAAATTAAAATTTGCAATATCATTGCCTTTAATTCCGTCTTTTTTAGCATTGATATTTATGATTTCGTCTTCTTCAATACGACTTAAAAAATCGGCCACTCTTACATTTTTGCTACCAACATAAATTATTTTGTTAGTGAACTGTAAAATATATTCGATATAACGAAATTGTCGTGGTGATTTTTCTGATTTTGAATGGATTGCTCTTTCAATTGGTTTATGATCGGTAAAAACTTTGAAATCCATTGCTTCAAGCATATGTCTAAAATGTTTAATTGACATGTAAATCGCATATAGTTCTTTATCGAATACACTATAATTGATTTGTGATTTTGAAAGTTTTTTAGAGAAATAAGCTAATGGTTGCCTAACATTATTTATAGTTTGTTCTAATACACCACCTATGCATGAATTGCTGGCATCAGTGGTTAACGATAGTTCGGCACCTTCTTGTGGATGTACGAGTAAAGAGGCTTTAATAAGCGCGTCTTTGGCTTCATTAAAACTTCTTTCGTATTCCTCAGGCCAATTTTCTATATTTTTGAATTTATTTTTATTAAGATAAGCAACAAATTCATGCAATGGGCAAATAATTTGAGCAAATTTAGGAACAAATTTATGGTAAAAATTTATCATACCTATAAATCGTTGTAATTGTTTAAGAGTAGCTGGTTTTTTATAATCTTTTATTGCTTTAACTTTTTCCTCTGTAGGTAACATTCCTTTAGCAGAGATATTGTAACCCAAAAAATTAATTTCTTTGACGCCAAACATGCATTTTGAAGGATTGACATTTACGCCAAAAGAATCTAACCTATTAAACAGAATGTCCAGCTGTTTCAAATGATCTTCTTCGTTTTTACTAAATATCAAAATGTCATCTAAATAAACGTAAATAAAATCAAGACCTCTAGTTACTTCATTGATAAATCTCTGAAACGTATTTCCTGCGTTTCTTAATCCAAAAGGCATTCTTAAAAATTCAAAAGCTCCAAATGGAGTAGTAATGGCGGTCTTAAAAATGTCTTCTTTTGCGACAGGAATTTGATGATATGCTCTCACTAAATCTATTTTAGAAAATATGGTGCATCCATGGATTTTAATGTTAACATCGGATATTAACGATAATGGGTATCTTTCAGGGATTGTTAATTTGTTTAAGAAACGATAATCGCCACAAGGACGCCAATCGGCTGTATCCTTCTTAGGCACCATGTGTAACGGTGATGTTACACATGACGAAGAAGGACGGCATATACCTAATTCTATCATATTATCAAATTCTTTTTTGGCAATATTAAATTTTTGTGTGTCTAGACGTCTTGGTCTACAGTAAGGTAAATGTCCATCTGTAATAATATGATGTTCTATGTTATGTTTAATTGGTAAATGAAAATTAGGTGATGAAAATATATTAGTGTATTTTTTAAAAATTTCCGTATATTTATTTTCAACTATAAAAAGTTTGGGAAAATCTACTTTGTCTATATTCATAATTTTACCTTTTGAGCTTAGTGAAGTTTCGTTATCTAAAATTCTCTTATTTTTTAAATCAACTAGCAATCCAAAATGTGTTAGAAAATCAGCACCTAATATTGGTTTGCAAATATCAGCAATAATAAAAACGAAAAGAAATTCTCTACGTAAACCTAAATCTTTTTTTAATAGTTTTTTCCCAAAAGTAGAAATTTTATTGCCTGATGCTGACGTTAATAAAAAATCGTTATCTTTATCATTACCTTTGAAAATATTTTTTGGTAAAACACTAACTTCTGCTCCACTATCAATTAAAAAATTTAAATTATTGATTTTGTCAAAAACAAAAAGTCTTTTTGAAGATATGTTTCCTTCTCCCAAACAGTTCATAGTTGATCTTATTCGTTTTTTGATTTATTTTTAAATGAATCATATAATAAACAAGGTGGGCCATTACATTTAAATGCTTTCAATTTAAAACGTTTATGATATGAGCATAATAATTTGTCAGAATCGTTATTATATCTGTTCCTACTTTTTGATCTGTGACGACAAGAATGACACTGATTATCATTTCGTCTGTGAGAAGACAAGTTTTCTTGCTTAATTGAGCTTACCTCGTTTTCTAATTTAATTTGTTTGTCAAGGATTGTTTTTAATAAAGTTTGACAAGAATTGTTGAAATCTGTCATAAATTTAACTAAAAATGTATTGTCAGTTTGTGTACTTGGACCTTGAATTTCGTTTATATTCATTTTTGAATTTTGAGATTCCCAAATTTTATCTGAAAGTTTCAATAATTCAGTCACGTCGTCTTTCCCAGATGCTGTTAAAGCTATATCAATAACTGCAGGTAAACGTCTCCGCCATAATTTAATTAGTAATTTCTCATCAATAATTTTGTCTCCAGAGATTTGTAATAATTCTCTAAAGAAATTTGATGGACGTTTATCTCCTAGTTCTGATCTAGAAATTAACTTATCTAAACGAGCCTCTTCTGATAAAGTCAATCGGTTAATTATTATTCCTTTTAGGGATTCATACATGTTTGAATTTGGTGGATTATTAATTACATCTATAACTTCACTAAAAATATCTATCGGTAAGTTTGCTACAGTGAGATGATATTTACTTTTATCTGAATTAATTTTATGAATAAAAAATTGGCTTTCAATTTGTTTGAACCATAATTCAGGTTTTGATGACCAGAAAGGAGGTAATTTAATGTGATTTAAATTTTCGACACAACCAGTCTCTGACTCTGTTTCGTTATTCGGCATTTTATTGTCAAACACAAATGGCAACTTTAAAACATTAAGTAGTAACTCAAAACTCACCTCTTGCAATATTTCGCTCTTGACCTGCGGTATAGCAGGCAAAAAAACAAAAACCTTGAAGTATATCTCGTAGAGATGTTGCTGATGTGGTTGTTCTATCTGATTTTCTGACTTGATCACCTGGACCTGATGAGATTCTTATTTCTATCTTCTACGCCGAAATCCGATGGGTATCTTGTACTGTTGCTCGTACCGTTTCTCGTACCGTTGCTCGTACAATTCCTCGTACTGTTTCTCGTTCCGTTGCTCGTACAATTTTGTGTTCTGATCGAGGGGTCACCAATATTATATAGGTATTCTCTGTAACCAAAATAACTATATAATTAAAATTCTCTTTTAAAATTCTTTTATTAAAAGGCCAAGAACACGTAACTTCGAAAAAATAGAAAAATAAAAATAATTTGTTGATAGTTTCTTGTCTCTTGCTGTTCTGTTCTTTCTTTTTTTTTCCACAGCTGTCCACCACACACTCCATTGTTTTTCCACCTACTACACCACAAATCAAAAACAGATGTGACTTCCAATGTCATCAACTTTGAAGTTCTATGACATTGGCAGGAAACAGGATTGAGTCTCATGCCACCACGAAACATTCTAAAGTGCCATCACATAACAAAAATAAAACGTCGAAATGACAAAGTGGAGATGACTGGTTTAAGGTTATAACATTTATCTATCAACGTAATTATGACAGAGAGAAGAGTAATATGTAGTACGAAGCACTACAAACATATACACTCCTGTTGAGCAAACTACTATTGATAAATATTTTGAATACTTTTAGTAAAAGCTACAGAAAAAGTTGGAATTGTTGGTCGCACTGGGGCCGGAAAATCTTCAATAATTGCTGCTTTGTTTCAATTATATCCATTGGAAGGATCTATTTTCATTGATAACATGGACACCACTAAGATGCCTTTAGAGGTTGTTCGATCCAAAATATCTATTATTCCTCAAGCTCCATTTTTGATTTCAGGTATTTTAAAATAGGTGATAAACTCAAATACCTAACTGTAGTAATATTTGGTTTTATTTATAGCCTAGAGAAATAGATTAAGTTTTATTACAATAATAAATAAAAATAATAAAAATATCTTTTTAAATAACATAAACAAAAAATGACAGCTATTTAGAACCGAGAGTTTAAAACACTATATTTTATTTCCCCCTAAATATTTGCAGGTTCAATGAGGGAAAATTTAGATCCATTTCACGAATACTCTGATGATATTTTGTGGAACGTTCTAGAGCAAGTCGATTTAAGAGAAGAGTTAGAAGAAATACCGTCAGGCCTTAACACTATGGTATCTGAAGGTGGTAACAATTTTAGCGTCGGTCAAAGGCAACTGGTTTGTTTGGCTAGAGCACTTATTCGAAATAACAGAATTCTTATTTTGGATGAAGCCACTGCAAATGTTGATCCACATACTGATGCCTTAATTCAGGCTACTATTCGGACTAAATTTGCTCACTGCACAGTACTTAGTATTGCCCACAGGTAAGCAATCGTGTTTACACACAATGAAATCAACATTTATTGAACAATATTTCCAAAATATTTAAAAACAATATAGATATTATTAAAATCAGGAAATCAAACGTAACCGTCTGGACAAAAGTTGGATGTACAGATTACATGGAGATCTGAATAAGCGAACATATTAAAATACCTACCTGATTAACCAATTCAATAATTTGATCACTATAGATGTTTTCATTGGAAGACAAATTGCTGGTGCAAGGTCATATATGCCGTTAACTTACGTAGACAGTTGGCGGCATATGGAAAGCTTTCTTATTATTAATGTAATGTATCTATATATTTTTAATTGAAACACTATGTACTTATGACTGTTTATTACACGATACATTAATTTACACGTTATTTTACAATTTATATTCAGACTGCAACGGTTATTCTCAGTCGGTAACATTCATGCTCGGAGTATAAGTATAGACTGAGGAACAGTTCATTCTGGGCATGTGCCCTGACATTACCAATATTAGTATTGCCAACTTAAGCCATGTTGCATACGTCACAATTAATTTTAGGAAAAAAATGTATGCATCTTACAGAGTAATTTAAAAGACCTAAAATAGTACATTATATACCTAGGGTGAGAAGTGAGCTATTATTTACCGAGCACTTTTATATCCTGAGGCGCGTAGCGCCGAGGGATATAATGTGCGAGGTAAATAATAGCTTTCTCAGCCGAGGTATATATATATAGAATTTTTTTTACTACTAACATTAATGTATTAGCAATTTTAATTTTGACATAAGTAATTTCCTAACAATTTGTTAAATATTTCGAAATATCAAGCAGACTGGAGCGTGTTTCTAATCAGACTGGCTTTATTTATGTAAAAATTTGGCATGTGTCAAATTTTGGTATGATTCTAGGAAATATCCCATTGCATTTTTGATATTTTAATGACATGGATTTATTGTTATTAATTAATAATTTTTAAAGCCGGTGTTGAATTTCCTAGTTAATATATATTTTTACTGTTTACACTGATATATATTATCATATTTGATTTGATTAGATTTGATAAACCCAGCTTTAGTTATTTCCTACTTATTTTTCAAATATTTCAAAATATCAAGTAGTCTGGGAGTTTAGTTGTCAAATTAACAAAATGAAACTAATGAAATTTAGTTTCATTATTTACCTAGGTTTTTTTTTATTATCATTATTTACCTAGGGAGAGAAATATTACTTCTCATTAGAGGAATGGAGTAAATAATGGTGATTTCTCATGTTAGTAGTAAAAAACATATTTAAAGGTCTTGTTGTGTTATGATTTATTACGTTTTTGAATTATACTAATATATTAAATCAACATTCGTACTAAAAATTATATTTGTAATCTCGTGCTAAAGTGATATAGTAATGATTATCCGCAAACTCGCGCATTTAAAAGAACTAAATATGTAATTAGGGTTCTTGCTGTGTAATGATTTATTATTTTTTTGAATGATACTAATGTACTGAATAATTCGTATTAAAAATTGTATCTGGAATGTCGTGCTAAATATTGGTTTTTAATAGAGTAATATTTTTTCGCATAAAGACCTAAAAACTATATTTACAGGTCTTGCTATTTATGATTTTTTATTTCTTTGATCGGTAGTAGTGTACTAAATTGTTGATATAAAAATATATTAATAATTTTGTTTTCCATTTTCACAATGTCCATTAATTTTTACTTAAAATAAACAATAATCTGAGTTTTGTGTAAGTGGTCAGTGACATTGTTTTAAAGTCTACTACTGAAGTAATTAAAGTTACTTTTAGCCAACTGATAACATCAATTTAGTCACGTGGGATACAGATATTGTTAAAGAATCTGTAGATAATTATTTATCTATATTTTAAAAACACTACATAAATATATAAAATGAGATCATCATTTTTTTCCAACTATAGAATATGTTTATAATAATTATTACTGTGTAGATAAGTGAATCTTATTTAGTACCTTTATCTCTGGAATTCTAATAACACAAGTCATAAATATTTGACATACAACTGAAATAAATGTCCATATTAAGCAATGTACATACAATTCGAATTATATACTTTTTGTACACCATTTTTACAATTCTATTGGAACTTTTACCACATTTAAGGTATATATTTATAAAATTATTTACTACAACTTTAAACAATTTAGTCCATTTAAAATAACGGTAAAAGGTCGAGAAGCGCCGCACTTGACGAGACCACTTGTCCCCTACGTATTTTGGGGCGCTGATTATGAAAATGAGGGTTAAAACTGACAGCAATGGTTGGAACACCGCTAAATAGGGGTGTTTTTCGACTGTACTTGTTTTTTTGCAAACTAAGCCATCTTATATGTTTTTTGGGGCGCTGATTACGAAAATCAGGGTTAAAACTTGCAGCAATGGTTGAACCACCCCTAAAATTGCAAAAAAACTCCCCTAAATAGGAGTGTTTTTTGACTGTACTTGTTTTGCAAACTAACCCATCTCATATGTTTTTTGGGTCGCTGATTTCGAAAATCGGGGTGTCGAGACTGGAAAATTTGTGTAACACCCCCCACATGCCAGAAACACCCCTCCCAAGGGGTGAATTTTCGGAAAAAATGACCCGTCACGGTGATTTGCGAACTAAGTCATCTTATATGCTTTTTGGGTCGCTGTCCAGCACACTCCAAATTAATTTTAATTTTTGAACAAAAAGTATCAAGATCTTTCTGATACTCGTATTTTTTTAGTCTTCCGAAAACAAGAGTTACTCGAAAAAAATCAATATTCCTATGAATCAAAACTCCTGTTCAGTTTAAATATGCCGCGTTGAATACAAGGTCGTAGATTCAGGTTTTCTCTCTATACTCACATCTATATTTCGTATATTCTAGCATCAATTGCTGCAAGTTTTAACCCCCATTTTCATAATCAGTGACCCAAAAAAAACATATGAGATGAGTTAGTTCGCGAAACACCGTGACTGGTAATTTTTTCCGAAAAATTCACCCCTTGGGAGGGGTGTTTCTGGCATGTGGGGGGTGTCACACAAATTTTCCAGTCTCGACACCCCGATTTTCGAAATCAGCGCCCCAAAAAACATATTAGATGAGTTAGTTTGCAAAACAACAAGTACAGTCGAAAAACATCCCTATTTAGGGGTGTTTTTTGCAATTTTAGGGGTGGTTCAACCATTGCTGAAAGTGTTAACCCCAATTTTCGTATTCAGCGCCCCAAAAAAATATAAGATGGCTTGGTTTGCAAAACAACAAGTTTAGTCGAAAAACACCCCTACTTAGGGGTGTTTAGTCGAAAAACACCCCTACTTAGAGGTGTTTTTTTGCAATTTTAGGGGTGTTCCAACCATTGCCGCCAATTTTAACCCTCATTTTCGTAATCAGCGTCCCAAAATACGTAGGAGACAAGTGGTCTCGTCAAGTGCGGCGTTTCTCGACCTTCACCGGACTAATTTTATTATAAAAATTGTTTTGTAACACTGCAACCTGTTATTTTAGGCAAATAAATGGTAGTTCAATAGTAATAATTGCATAAGTTAATAATTAAAAGAACAAACGACTTATCTGTAAAGAAGTTTGGTAAAAAAAAAACAAGAAACTTAAAACTCATATTTTTAAAATACAAACAGAAATTGTGATATAAAAGAAAACTAGGAACAAGAAGACACAGCCATACATAATAACGAAAGAAAATATAGAAACACGAAAACATAGAAAACTTACTTAACAGGTCGACGAACACAAAAAAAAACTTTAGGAAAACGCAAATTTTAAATTTCTTCTTTATCTGCCAAAAATATCGATAACAGAAGACATAATTTCTTTTTTGTTTTCTGCGATTATTTTTCGATGTATGCTCATCATGCATAGCCAAGTCAGCCTATTTTTATTGATTGTAGACCGCAGCCATGTTTTAACACGCATTAGCGTGCTAAACGTTCTTTCGATTGACGCCGTCGTTGGTGGAAGAGCCATAGATATTTTTAAAGCCCTTTGTATTCCTGGATAAAATTCACAATGCTTGGACGCTATCTCATTAATGGAGAGCTCCTTGTATGGAAGAAGCTCTTTCGTACTCCAGTTAGTTACCCACATTTGGTATTCAGCTTCAAAATTGTCGATTCCAAATTTGTCCACTATTTTCATTTTCTGATCTGTAGTAAAAAAAAGTATTTTTTTGTGTTTTTGAGATGTAACAAGATTAAAGAACCTATAGTACCTATCTAACGAAATATCAGTAATGCATATTTAACACGTTGTTGATTAAGTTGTAAAAGCCATGGGGAAGTAAGCTGTCCCCATTGCCCTCCCAAAAATCCTAAAGGGCAAAGCAATACTATGGTACCGCAACAACAAAAAATACTGGGACAAGTGGAAGGATTTTACAAGAGCCTTTACCAACTTCTTTGCAACCACAAATAACACACAGCTACTGGAAGCACAGATACGCGACCGGATTCGAAAAGAAAATGTAAAATTCAAGAGTACATTATAGATATTCAGTCACTCATCCAGAGATACAACAACTTCGACTATCAAGAGGAACTGAACAGAAAATATAAATCGGAGAACATAATATAAATTATACACAAGAACTTGATCAAGATGACTGAAGAGTACTATACAATTCAGTCTATTAAACACAAACAAAATTCCATGGGACACTCACGACAACAATCTTCACATAATATAGACAAATTCTTCAATTGGAGACAAGCAACACCACCTAGTGAGTTTTCAAGGAATGGAGTACAAAACTTGACAAACAAACATGCTGCTAGAAATGCAGGAAAAGAGGACACAATCGGAGCATATACCATTCAACTCTCATCCTTTTCTGTAGCTACTGCGTATCTCTAGGGACAGCATCAAACAATTGCACATGTCAAATACAGACGGAAAACCAGTGGCGGTTTGCCCGTAAGGGCACTTGGGCACGTGCCCTAGTATAATAAACCAAAAAAAAAAACTTTTTATTATATTTTC